AAAATATATATATATATATATATATAAAGTGGGACCAACATTAAATATCTTCTTACCTATATCATTGAGAATGAAGAGATTTAGAAACTTCGGGTTTATGATTTATGATGTGGCATAAAAACAAATCTACATTTCATGTTACGAGTGGAAATGTGCTTATGAATGTACTCCATCTCAAAGAAAATGTCTAGTTTTACTTTAAGCGATAAATTTTCTACTACAGGATACATCTCTTGTAAGTGTTTGCTAATGTGTCACATTAGCTGTTTCCAAACTTATATCCGTAATAAAGAAAGAAGAAACAATGCTAATAACAACATAATAAATGAATACGCAATGAAGTTTGTGCATAAAAGCTCCATTGTGTAAGAGGAAGAAATAATAAACAGGTATTTTTCTCCACATGAACAAAATATCATTTCTTCTGGAAAGGAACCATCCAATTACAGACTGTTTAGGAAAGTAGTTAAAGTAGATGAAAGCATCTTAAATCAAATGCCTCAACAATGCGAAGAGAAAAAACTGTGGCAAAGAATTTATGAGCAAACAGGATAAACAATGTTCCGATATTGATATGGAACAATCGATAGTGCATCACTATGCTAGAGGGTGCAGTTAATAATTTGGGATGTCATATACTAAAACGTAAAAGAGCATCTTGTATATACATACATACATACATACATACATATTACATACATACAAGTGAACTCAAAAGTATTCAAGGTATCCACCTGAGGTCAACCACAAATATTTCAGCCAATGTTACAGGCTACAACTGTAAACACATATAGTGCTGTTAACAATAAAATGTTAGATCCAGAGTAACAGTTTACAGAGTACCTACAAGGAAAAATGCAACTTGTCGGTGATTCTTATCAGCAGCAAGTTGAGCAGGTGTGAGGCCAGTATTATCGGTCACCATCAAATCTTCCTTCTTCCCTGCCTGCACCAAAACAGTGCATGCTTCTAAGTTACCCCTTATGGCAGCCCAATGCAGAGGGGTACAACCTAAAAGATGAGGTATGATCATTAAGCTCTTTTAAAGTGAATACTCGCAGGAGAACATATGACATCAACAACGGAGCATCTCAGATTCTCAACTAACCTTCTTTGTCCTGCCGTCCCCTATAAGCATTCAGATATAGCAAAAGACGGATACAGTCCGCAAATCCCTTGTAAGCAGCCCTAAAGTCATTGCCAATAAATAACAAAACTAATTTGTATCCCCCCATGTATAAAATAAAGTTGCTCGTGACTGATAGGGGCACAAACAACGATGAATGAACAATCATTTTAACAGCTAGTTGTTTTAACTGATCGATGTGTTGCTTTCAATTTGGACACACTTTATTGCTAAGGGAAAAAAGCACATTAAGAAACACGGAGTCCTACAGTGTCAGCACAAATGATTACATTTTACTCAAATTCTAAGAGCACAACAAACAAAAAACTATTGTTAATAAACTCTAGTTTGCAGATAGAAGCAACAAACAAGTGCAGAAAAGCAGCAGATTTGTTTGAGCTGACAAGATAAATTGAATATGAAAGATAGCAATCATTAATATATGAATCCAAGTGCATTTAGTTATGCTTCAGAAGTACTTGAGGCAGGTATGCACAAATAAGCAAGGGAACATATTTTGATCAGCACGTAATTGTATGACCAAATACTAACAAGAAAATGAATAGAGTAAGCAAAAGCAACGAATGTAAAATAAATAGTAACCATGTCCACGTAATATGCAACAAGATCTTGACAAGAAGTTCAACAAATAAAAAACGCAAGGATTACAAACTGAATCTGAAAGAAAAAACAGATGAATTACGAATAAACTAAGACAAACACAAATCCACAAGGTCCAATATAGCAAGCTGACAAATGTTGACAGAAGACATTCAGAAACCAGGAACTTCTCCAGAAATCTGGGGCCCTATACATACCTTTCAACAATGGCCCCACAATCATATATGCATAGTCTTAATTTTTAATCAAGCAAATAATATTAAACAGCGGTAACAATTAAATATAAAAATATTATGAGTATGAAAAAAATATATTCTTGGGTCTAAGGAAATCATGCATTGCATACAAAAACATATACAAAGCAAACAAAAAAGATACACTAAATACTTCTTGTTCTTTCACTCGCTGTGTGTGATTGTGTATCCTTCATTTATCAGATTTTAATATCACTATTGCTTCCTTATTCTAGTATTTCATGAAAATAATATCCGTTGTGTTCAATTTCCCCACAAAGGCACATTCAATAGAACAAATAGCTTGAAATGCAGATAAAATGTTGCAATTCATGACCTCTGAAAATTGTCGGAGAGGGGTGCATTAGTGTCATGAAATAATGGAAATTTGGTAATTGAAAAGTGAATTGATTGGGCCAAAGCTTATTTAGGAAAAATGTAGGAAAAAGGAAACATGAACGTCTATAAACTAAGGGGTACAATGACCACGTGTTTCTAATTAAATAGAGACTAATGTCTTATGGCCAAACCCAAAAAACTAATGGATAATATTTAAAAAAAAAAGCCCCTATATAAATAAAAGCCCAAGGCATAAGCCTTGGCCAACTAGCCCAATGGTCGGCTCTGCTAGGAACCTAAATAAGAAAAGCATGTCAACAGAGAATCACAATTACATTTGTTAAAGTACCAGTGCAATGGACTTCTTCCGTCATTATCAGGAACATCAGGATCAGCATTCCACTTTGTGACAATATGACAAAGCAAAGCTGTCTGACCATATTGTGCAGCCACATGCGTCGTCTGCAATCATACTAAGTGTGATGATGCATACATATGAAAATCACACAGAAGGCCACAATTAACAATTGTAAAGGACAACAATGAAATATAAATTAACAAAAGAACCTCATTAATAAATGGATCCAGAAAAAAGAAGATCAAAACCAATACCAAGAATATCCCATTAATATAAGATTAGCAAATTATAATTTTCTCAATACTTTTGAGCATACAAACAACCCAGGAAGCTCTTGTACTTCTAAGCATTCTGCGACTGAGATCATATAACTCCACCACAAAAATTTAACTTCAAGGTCAATTCAGAACGAATTCCTCCCCACGGCTCTGGTAACTTATGCATTACGACGCGCCACAGTATATTAGAGTCTAAAAGTATATATAATAGATAAATGTGGCATTCAATAGATATCTACTTCCAGATCAATTTTGTAATGTTGTTTACTGAATAAAAGGACACTTCATCAGCTGAACTCATAGTTTTAAATGACAAATGACGATCCAAGTTAAATCAGGGAATGGCCACGAGGCAAGAGGCGAGGCCTCGGCAAAAAAATACACTAAAATTTTAAAAACGATAATATAGATAGATTAATAAATGGAAAAATCAACCTCAAATGTTTCCAAGAAGGGAAAAACAATAAATAGAAACCTAAAAAAATAACATAAGAAAGCAAAACTAAAATAAAATTAAGGAAAAAATAAAACGGAAACAGAAAAATAAATTACCTAGGACAGCTACTACCAGCTTATTTGGCTTTGAAAATGACTTAAGTAAATAAAAAAATAAGAAATAAGAAAATAAAAGCTACAATCTACGTCAACTCAGAGGAATGGCTGACTTCAGTATAGCCTCAATAAAATTTAACATGATTTTATTGAAATATTATAGACTATTGTTATATGTGTGTTAAGGACGAAGAATCCTTTAGTTGAGGACTTACAAGTTAGCAAGTGGTTTTGTCTGTGGAGCAATACAGACAGCCCAAAGAAGAGGTTGCGTAAATACTAGTTAATAGAGAAGCATGATATGTAAATTTATGGCATCATACATGAGGAAAGGGAGGCTTAGCTGCATGTAACTTGCATGCTACGGCATGTTATTTGAATCCTCAATTCCTGTATCACCGTGTTGAAGTAAAAAAGGGAGTGTACAATTGTATGCATGGAGAGTTTGTACCAAATCCAATAGAAAGGGATGCAGCAATCCTTGATCTAGACGTCTGTGACCAAAAAAAGAATTATGTCTTTAACTTGAGCTCGAAAAACATCGGATAACACATTCGAAAATTAGTCGAACTTGAGCTCAAAAACTTCGGATAACTGCCCTAGATGGCGGTTTGCCAAAAATACAACCGCCGTCGTTCACAAATTTAGCAGCGCAGATTGTCAAAAATCCGCCACGCCATGGCCGCCTTTTGATAACACAGAACTGGTGATATATAACATGCTCAAAGATCGACGTGTAAGACTAAGAATTTAAGAAGAAGATGATCCATTGAGACAATATCACCGTATGATGAATGGACAACATAGTTTTAAATGGTGAAAGACGATTTGAGATGATTTGCCCATGAAATGACCACAAGGTGAGAAGCCAGGACATGGTGAAGCCTCAGCAACAAAACGTACCAAAGCATAAATAATAACAATATAAATGACGCGTTGACATATTTAAGTTCAAATGACCATTTGACTTCAAACATCTAGGAAACATAACATTAGAAAAATAAACAAAAATAAAATAAAATTAGAAATACAAACATAACATTAGGAACATAAAAATAAAAGAAACTAAAATTATAGGAAAAAATAGAAAATAGAGACAAAAAATGAAAAAAAAAAAATAAAAGTAAAATAAAATTGAATTTGAAACTAAAATAAGAAAACAGAAACCGAAAAATAAAACAAAAATAAGATAAAAAAGAGGCTTGAAATACTATTAACACCTAGAGCTATTTATCAATTGAAGCAAGGCGGCAGGAACTAAGGGAAAGTATCCAAGAAATATATATAAAAAAGAAAAGGAAAGAAACAGAAAAGGAAATAAAGTTCAAGAAAAAGCAAAACAGAAAAAGAAAAGAAACAATAGTTGCAATGCAGCAACACATACCCGGGTTAGCAACAGCTTGGTCAGAGGAATTTGGAAATGAGATGGGTCAGCAGTTGGCTCTTCCAATTTTTTGACCTAAGTAGGCATTTTGCCCTAATTATAAGTCCTAGGCCTTGATTGTTTTGGGGGGAAAGACGTGCCTGTCAGGAAACATAGGCATGAGGAAAGGCACCTGAGGCACCTGCCTCAGCAATGGGGCCGCCTCAGGCAGCGGAAACACGATTTAACATCACATCTGCTGTCTCTTGTCATCTAAAACTGAGATGCACAGATTGCTGCAGACATTCAATTTTATTCAAGTAATGGTGGTAGGACTGCGTTCTACTTATAAGTTAACTAAGGCCAGTCTAATAGGATGTGAAAGTTTCCACAAAGAAGTACTTCGTGTTTGCTGAAACTCTTAAGAAAAAAGTTTTCAGTTATCCATGTAAGTTATAACTTGGACGCATAGGAAACCTCTACGGTTTTTTGGGTAACTTCAGAGTGTAACCATGCGCTTTCAAGATAAGAGACATACAATAGGGGCTTCATGATAAAAAAGAAAAACGAACAAAAAAAACTGGGCTCCAATTTTAGTTTGTCAAAATTATAGTCAAAACCACTAAACAGAATAGCATGTAAATAGATAGCGCAAGGCAAAGAATATAATAGAAATTAAAAAAAAAAAAAAAAAAAAAAAATGTGCTGAATATGATATGTTAAACGAGTTAGTAAATTTCAGTACATTCTATACTTGCTTAAAGAAGAGACCAAGTTATTTGCATCAATCTACCCATTCAGACTGCAGTTGGACATTTATCTTTAATCATAACAACCCTCAGCTCAAACCAATAATGCAATCTAGACATGGCACTGGAAGGCCACTAAGGTGTAGACTGCATTCATACATATTCTATATGCAAGCATGTGAACAATATCTAATCCCTTTTTAAACTAATAAACTCCGGCATCAAACAGGGTAAGAAGAAAAAACAAATTGAAATCTCTGAAATAATTCCAAAGTGATCGTCATAACTAATTCTTCCATTGATACCATAACCTTATCAAGATACAAAAAAAAAAAAAAAAAAAAAAAAAAAAAAGATCATAACATTCACGACTATTAAATCCAATAAAGGTTAACAGCATAAAAGACACACCTGATAGCCATTGAAATCCGCTGCACTAGCCCGAGCACCCTCCTGCAGCAGAAGTTCAGCAACCTGGACTGCACCTCTCACTGCACTCCAGTGCAGAGCAGTTTGACCGGTATGATCACGTGCACCAATATCACCTCCATGCTGTTAAAAGTGCAGAAACACAATCAGACTAACACAACAATCTACAATGAAAACAATAGAAGTTACAGAATTTTTTTTATGAGAAATGCTACATTGCCAACCTAGTGTACAACTAGGTTGACAATTGGATGTTTCCACTTTGTGTTGTCAACCTAGTTGTACGTACTAGGTTGGCTATGTATCATTTTTCTTTTTTTATTTAAAAACTTTTGAGTAGGTTAACCATCTACAGAGAACAAGTTAGAATATTCAAGCAAACTTCAGGCATCACTTCAACATTTTCTGGAACAACAAATTATAACAACGTGCCAATGTTTGCTGTAGGTTCTTTGGCGGAATGATCATGTGCTGGAGATATGCTTTTTAAAACAATAATCCTTTACACTAGTGAAACCACAACCGGTATTTTACATGCTTTCATTCTTACCAAATAAGCTTATGTGTTCCACCCTAACCCACTTTCTCACCAACCAATAATCAAGTAGTATCAGATTGCATAACCAAATCCAAAACCCAATTCCACAGACTACTAGTAAACATCACAAAGCTCAATGTCACAGAGATCAATCATTTGCAAACTATGCACAATTAACACCCAAAAAAGAAAAAACAAGGAAATATCCTAATACCTCAATAATATATTGAGCAGCAGCCGTTCGATTATTGAGTGCCGCCCATTGGAGAGCGTAGTAGCCAAGAGCGTCGGGTTCAGAAACTGAGCAGCCCTCCCTCTCTACTAGGCGCTGCAGCTTTTCCATATCTCCATAGGCAGCGGCCGTGTAAACATCGTTCCTCAAACTCTCATCCTCCACCACCGCGGCTGTGGTGGCCTCCTCTCGATGATCCCTCGATTCTACCTCCTCGTCCACCACCTCGATCTCCGACGCCATAGCACGAAAATGGAAGACCCCCTAAGAGATCGGGAGTGGCGAGCTACAATGTTTTATGCACTTAATCTGAACGAAAAACCAATGCGACTTCCAAATTGACCACCATTCTAGGGTTTTTCTGGAAGGATAGAGGAGTTGACTAGGTTTAATTTGAGATTTTTTTTTTCGTAAATAGGCTTTAATTAAAAACATATAATTACATGTCGTTAATTAGCGGAATGAACAAAGAATTCAAAGCAGAGACATACGACACACCAAGTGTGGCGGATCTAGAAATTTTCATGAGATAGGCAAAAGTTGGTTAAAATTTTTTTAACTATATTGCACAAAAGTTGGCCATCAGAGACTCATGCTGGAGTCCTTTCGGGACAAGCAGAGCACGACTATCACCCGCTCCGAAGAAGGTGGGTTCAAGGTAAGTTTCCCTGAACGCACTGTTAATTCCCTAGCTGAGTCGTTTGAGAATGCACTTATCTTGAAGTTTTCTTTCACTGTCCCCTCACTCCGGGATTTATCGGTCGGTCTGGTCAAATTAGGTTTCAAGGGTAGAGTGTCCCCTAAGTTCCTTAATTACAATCATTACTTACTCTTTTTTGAGTTGAAAGAGGATTACAATACTGTCTGGATCAAAACGCATCTCAATATCCTTGGTTGTTCTTGTCGGGTGTTCAAATACACCTCTGATTTCTCTTTTGTTGAGGAATCCCCCATAGTCCCGGTGTGGTGCTGCCTTCCGGGACTTCTACCACATCTTTTCGATCCTTCTGTCCTCTTTTCGATTTCCAGCTGCATTGGCAACCCCATTGAGACTGATGCCGCTACGGCAAACCGCTCGAGACTATCTGTCGCACGGGTGTGCGTGGAGATAAATCTCAGGGACGAGCTCAGTAAGGAGATTGAGCTCGACCAAGCGGGC